AAAACTGTCAAAAGTATGACTTCCGAGGCTCGAGTCCGAAGCAGTGCCTCCGAAAATTGCACCTGCAAACCGGCCTCGAATTGACCACTTCCCTTACACTAAATCAACTTTGCATGACAGGCTTTTTCTAAAAAAATAAATTCAAAAATTAAAAAAAATTAATTACGGGACGTTCCACTTTGCTTTACACTGTCGCCGATTTGGACTGGCAAAGGTGTAAAATTGCGCTGGCATTTATCCTTTTGTTGAAATCTGAGTTGCCATTTTACAGATCAGCAACCGTTTTAAATAACAAAGCTCGTGGTTGCAAGTCTAATATCGGTAGGTTATGGTTCACCCTAGGTTCTAGCTGCGAGCCTAGAGTATCACTGCCCGTATCTTTCCATATACTTGGTGGTGTAGGTTTTCAGTAGCTTCGCGCCCGCCTCATCCGTCCCCACCAGCTTAGCTACGCCGCTTGGGGGTTTCTTAGCCAGTACCCACTTCGAAAGGAGCGAATCCTGCAAACTCGTCGCCACTTTCTTGGTGCTTTCAACCTCCTTCGCCGCAGCTAGCGTAGTCAGTAACGCTTTGTCGCCGAAAAATTCTCTAAATGTGTCAATCATTGAAACTCGCGATCTTGGGAACTTGGCGTTGAAACTCTCCAGATACGCCGCCCACGTGTTCAGCAATGGCTTCGACAGAACGTTGCCCCCTGCTTTATTAAGTGCGAGTACTGCGAAAGCATCCTCCGGAGAGGTTTTACTCGCCAACCAACGCTCAATCTGGACTGTCTGTAGCTTGGTCGAAAGCGTTTTCATGTCGGGAAGTTCCTTTGCTGTGATGAGTAAACTTTTCAAAGTTTCATCGTCCAGGCTGGTGCGGAACGTGTCCGTCATGGACACTTTCTCATCAGGGAACTTCTTGTTGAACTCATCCAAGTACCTTGTCCAGGTATTGAACAGCGGGCTGGTGAGAATGTCGTCCGCCATGTCGTCAAGCAAGAGCGCCTTGAATATCTTTCCTGGCTGGTCCTTATCATCCAGCCAACGTTGAATTTGGCCAGTTTGTAGCTTCGTTGCCAGCGTGTTCGAAGTCGGGATTTTCTCCGCTGCAATGAGAAGTTTCGCGAGCGCATCTCCATCGTAGCCTTTCGCAAGTGCCGACATCATTGGCGTCGGGAACGACTTGTAATAGTGCTCCAAGAACTTTGTATACAGGCCCCAGAGCGGGCTTTGGATCACGTTTTCTCCCGCCTTGTCGAATTTCAGGTGCTTGAAGACACCGTCGGGTGACGAGCCTGCGGCAATCCATCCCTTGTAGAGCTCGTCCTCAAGTCGTCGGGCCATAAAGCTCGTACTAGGAGCCTTCTTCCCAGCAAGTACCATGTTCCCCAGCACATCGTCGCCATAGTTTTTCCGCAAGATGGTGATAATGGAGACTTGAAGGTCGTTGTGTTCTGGCTTCAAGTTGAGATCTTCCACGTACTTCCCCCAAAGTTTAAACTGTGGACTGCCCAGAAGATCATCCGCTGAATTGTCGAGCTTTAGCAGCTGGAAAACTTTCGCCGGATCTTCGTTTTCACGTAGCCAGCTTTTGAACTGCTCGGCCTGCAGTTTAGCGGCGGCCTTTTCGGTGCTTGGTACTTTCCCTGCAGCTATTAAAATTGGCGTGATGTCTTCGTCGCCGAGCTGGTTCCGCAAAGTCGCCATCACGGTTGTAGCCTCGTCGGGGAAGTCTCTGTTGTAGTTGTCGATGTACTTGGACCAAAATTTGAATCGCGGACTGGCGAGGAGCTGGTTTCCGGCCTTATCGAGGGACAAAACCGTGAGTAGCT